TTAATATGGGATTTAGCATTGCAGAATCATGCAAATATTGCGAGACCCTTCTCGAACTAGATGGAGATATTTGTGAAGATCATGCCAATGGCCGTACAAATCTAACAGAAAGAATTGTGCGCTACTAGCATGATCTTATAGAGCGATTTTTATAAGAATTGGCCGTTTGGCAGCTAGTGTTGGCAACAACTGAAGGTTCTGTGATCGTTATGTTCTTGAGCCCATTGGACTCTCCTTTCTGTCGTTTGCAGTTGACTTTGACGCTTTCTTTTGTAATGTCCTCGTCCGACGAAAATATAGTGCGCCACGACAAATTTTGAAGACATTTTTCCACGTACGTAATTATATTTCAATATTTCCCGGACTTATGTACGTGTACCTTATATACCTGAACGAAAGTCTTAGATTTCTGTATATCTTCACGGGATCCGTAAACAAACTCTTTACGAAGAGGTGCGGCTAAACCATAGATCTTAAGAAGACGCTAGATGTGCCACGAGCGCAACTGTGCCACTCCCAAATTGAAGAGGTCCGTCGCCGCCATTAGGATGGCAAAAGAGATCAGCTATTAACTGCGAATTAACGTGAGTGTGGTTTTTTAAGCTGTTTAAGGATACGTATGCGGTGTGAGGTTAATTTTAATTCATTCTGAGGAATTTTGAAAAGGTAAATTCTGTTGCACGTTGATAAATTACTGCATGACCATGATTTTATGAATAAATAACGTCGTTAAACTGGACTGCCAGTCAGGTACCTCACAAGCATCCTGTGAGCCTTATCATAGTAATTTTTTCATTTATACGTGTATATGTTATATTACATTTATAATGCTAGTTTCCTGTTGTGCGTATAATTGCACAAATAGAGCTGGTAAAATATATGTAAATGAGAGTAAAATTACGTTTCACAGGTTTGTTCATGTGATTAGTAAATGGTTGTGATCGTCATAAACGATTTATTTGCATTATATGAATTTCTCCTAAACATATAGGTTTCCCATTTCTAATAAAGAATTGTGCTTGAAGTGCGTAAAAGCAGTGAGGAGCGAGAATTTCAAAAATGTGGTATAGGATGTTACATTAATTAGCTTTTTACTTTCTCCATATTTTGAAGGGTTAATAGCGAGTCTCAGGTTGATTTTGAATTCCCCCTGTTTTATTATAAAATTGGGACTAAATTTTATTTATTCTGCTCTAGATTCAAAACTGCCCATGTGATTACAATTTTACAAAACTGTACAAATTATGCTCTTGTTCTTTGTAATAAAAGCAATTCTTTGTAAAGAAACCTGTAATTTTTGTAAATTAATCCATATTCTTCTAAATTTCCATTCTTCATTCTACCAAAAGAATATTCCAAAATAACCATAGTTTTAATAAATAAAAAACTTTATGTAAATGCAATGCAGAAAGTGTTTTTAATAGAGTACTTGATGGTAGAACTAGTGATTGTGAGGTGTGATGACACAGCAGCAATGGTTTTGAAATATTAGTAATTAAGTTTAGTTATATTAGTATTAAGTTTTTAACATAAATTGATAGTTGGAGAAGTGAAAACGGCATAGAATGTGTTTTGTTGCAATATACGCTATTAATTAAATATATAGAAGTGATGCAAGTGAGAAAAATTAAAAATATAAAATTATATTAAGAAGTCAATAGCACAAACCAAAGAAAAATGGAACTCGAAACTAACGGGTTGGGTCAGAACAGAATGCAGGAAGGAAATTTTGGGAGTTTTTGAAATGTACTCCAGATATATATTTTACTACATTAATACAGTATTCTTTAAAAATCCTTTTCCGGAATATTCTTGAAAAAATGCTTCCTTTAGAGTAAATAAATTAGAAGCGCAAATTCTAAGAACGTATCTCAAATTTTCTCCATAGGTGAAGGGCGATATTTGAATTCCCGCGCGTTCTTGCCATCCTAATGGCGGATTTCTTGAGGTTCAATTTGGGAGAACGTTTGGCTGCCGGTCGCTAGGAGGTGGTGGAGCCCTGGGCTAAACAGCTGCCGCGCGGAGGGATACTTGTCTGTATTACACGTGATGTTCACTTGTTTAGCACTTAGTCACTCTGGCTAATTCTTATACAAATCGTTCTATACGTCAGGCCAAGGTGAAGTCTCATAGTTAGTCATTGTGTGTCATATTTACGAATACATGTCTTTTTTTGATGTTGTTGTTGTTGTTTTTTTTGTTTATTTTTTTTGTTCACAATGTAATTAATCAATTTCAATAGTATGAAATACATGATCAATTTCAATAATATGAAATGCATGATCAATCGTTTATAGTTGCATTTCTTATGTAGTGTAAGTGCAGAGTTTGAAGATTTCAAACACTAAAACCATTATAAAAATGTCCTCAATAAATTAGTTCAAATTCATTTAGATTCTACCGAAACATTTTAAAAATGAATTGTTGGCAAAAACTATTGAAAAATGTGAAAACCAACTATCCTTGATAATACAACCTATTTATCCTCCTCATATAAATAAAATTACCTTAAAAATGTTATCATATACTATACTACTATAAACATGTTTACAAAATGTGAAGTTCAGTAGATATTTGAAAAAAAATTCAACTTTCAATCTAAATTAATTTCAATTCAATTTTCTAAAAATTGGAAATAATGCTGAGAAAACTTTCAGTTTCTATCAAACCCTTTACCCTCTTTGTTTCTGCCACACTTTCCTTCTCCTAAAACTAAACATTTTTAATGGTCCATTACAAGTATTAAGTCATGAATAGAAATGCATCCTTCATTCACGTATGTGGCAATTATATATGTGTAAATAGGAATAAAAGGAAATAAAACCTGAATAACAAAATACGAGTAACAGAAAAACGGAATACAACATGTAAGTATGTTTAGTAGTAATACAGTGAAACGTATATGGGCAATTTTCAAAGAGATAAATAGCGCTTAAAACGAACGTACAACAGTTCCATATTAAGAGAACATACGAATTTCGCGCTCCGCATCTGCTAGCCAATTCCCGGTACCGAATACAAGTGCAGTTTGTTCATATGACACCCGTACAGCCCAGATTATGACTGGCTGCAGGAGCCGACGACATCATTTTAAAAAAAAACATTATTTGCTTTCTCTGAAGAATAGCACAAAAGGATGCAGAGTAGCCAAGACATTAACAGCAGTCACTGAATTACATCTTCAAATAAGAAAGAATAAATTTCTTAAAATAATAATAATAATAATAATAATAATAATAATAATAATAATAATAATAATAATAATAATAATAATAATAATTAGGTTTCTGCAAGATTCCCATATTAAGAAAGTGCAAACAATAGTATTGATATTATTGTAAGTCTGTGGTTACTAACTTAACAGAACAACGCAACTGTTTCGCGGATTCCTGTTTACACAACTGATTCTGTATATCTGAGAAAGAAGGCTGTTCTGTTTTAGGCGGACCCTAACAATGTCAGTGGCTTATAAATAAACTAAATAGTTGCATTTCGTCAGAAGACTTACATTTGAGACCGTATGTGTGTTTCTGCAGTTCATATCATGACATAAGTCTCATCGTTGCATTGTGTTTGGATGTCACGATGCGTCGGGGAACAGTGTTCTGGCTGTAGTAAATCAGAATACATCTCCCTTGTGAATGTACAAAGACGCCCCAAGTAGAGTTCGGCGGACAACGGGCTTCCTACTTACGCCGGTGAACAAACTATTTTTTTAATATTATCTATGTGCGTCCCACTTCGAAATTCGGCAGATCTATACAAAATTAGTGTAGAAATAGAAGAGTATTTTTATAATTAATTAAAGTGCCTACCAAAAGTAAAAACTTGCATTTTGAAAATTACAATATATTTTAAATATTTAAATAATGTTTAAAAAAATTATATTTACATCACATGAAAGTACATCTATTTAAGTTATATTTATGTGTAATTTTATTTTTCTGTATAAAACGGTATTAGCGTAAAAACATTGTAAACATTAGCGTGCGCATGATTCTCTGGTAAAAGTTAATGGTAACATTTCTGAAAGAAGAAGTTTAGATAAAAAAAAAGTGTCTTCTAATTTCAACCCTAGAATTAAAAAAAGTCAAGGCGATAAAAAAGTGTTATTTTGTGAGTGTGCGATTTAATATGAAATGACTCAATAAGAGTATTTCTGTCGACAATTCGCCGTTTTTTCAGAGACGTTATAATACTTTCTCAATACTGCGTATGCAGTAGCGAGAAAGTAAGAAATCACTGTTAGTTCGGCTGTGGATTTGTCAAAAATAATTCTACCAATGTCACACGGTATGCTCACGGTACATCCACGTTTTCATGTGACCATGTCATATTTTTTGATCTAATGTCACTGGGAATAGCTTATCATGATGAAAAAAACGAGTTGCTTCCTTCTCCTTGCGCGCGCTGCCTCACGACACGCTTGCTGCCTTGTGCGAGCGAGCGGAGGCAGCCGAGCGTGTGGGGG